CCAAGGTATGTGTGGCCATGAAAGGCCTCCCTACTGGGCAGAGATGGGAAAGGGAAGGAAATGGCAACCTGGGGCTGCAATGTGACCCTGTCTTGCTTAAGGGTGTCAGCTGAAATTTGAAGGGTGAAATGACCAATTTTGGCTGGGTGAGAAGGAAAGCTATGCAGGCAGCTTCATAGATGGTCAGTTATAAGAAACACAGCAAGCTCACACCTCCAATGACAAGTGGACTTGAACTTCTGTTGAATTAAGGAACAAACTTGAAACAAACCAGAGTCGTAGACTCTTGATGGACAGCACTTTAACATCTTCTCTGTCCACCACCCACTGCTTTTCTCTCCTCTATAGCATCCCTCTAAAGCGTTTAGAAGCTGCTCAGGCATCCAAATATCAGTATCTCACTCTTCCCCCTAGGCAGCCCACTCCATTTCTGGACAGAGTCTACTATTTCACAACCTCTTTCTCTGACCCTTATATAGTTCTTCATTACATAGATTAGAAAAATCATCTTTCTGTAACTTCTACCCTCTCAATAACCAAGTGTTAGACTAGACAAGTATGTAGTTTGGAATTACAGGCCTTAGTCTGAATCTCTGTTCTGCCGCTGACCCACCATGTGACCTTCAGCCAGTAGCCTGGAGGCTTAACTTCCCCTTCTGTAAATTGGGCCATTCACATCACCTTTCAATGGTCATTTTGAGACTAGGTGAACTGGTAAGTGGTAAAATTCACTTAGTGCTACGCTGCCAGAAGAAGATTACTCGGTGTTAGTTCCCTCCTTCCCTGTGTCCCTCCAGTGCTAACCCTCAGCTGTGCAAAGAGATCCTGGCGGTGACTAAGTTGAAGACTTCTGTTGTCTTCTCCCTGAGTGTTCTCATCTCCAGAGTAAATGTATTCAGACTAAGTCCACAAATGTATCTTGATCTTTTTGTGTACTTACTCTCCACTTTGCTGTAGGAGAGATTTTGCTCTGTCAGTGATCCCCTAATTATTACAAAGTGAGGGGAAAATATATTTCCCTCATCCCAAGACCCACCCCATCCCCAAGAGCTGGGATTCCACACTCAGACTCCTCCCAGGGTTTGAAGTTGAGTGTTCAGATGTTGGGGGTCTGCCTGCAGAAATAGAAGTATCTCATCCTTTTCATTAGTCACAAGCTTTCTCTTTGGGAAATATTACACAGTTTACAAATCCAAGGGGACAGGCCCAGTTAGATAAGCTCTACCAGCTCTGGCTCTGGCTGCATCTATTGACAACTTGATTGGTGCTGAGGAATCTGTGGTTTCCCCCAAACACACACACGAGGTACCAGGCTGGAACAGCTGCTCTGTGCCTTAGCAGGGGTTGAGGTCCTTGGTCTTATGGATGAGTTTTTCCTTTTTTTTAATTAATGACCTTGTTCAATTTGGGATATTAGAAATGTTTTGTTTGTTTTTAACTCAGTCCAACATGCCAGCTAGCCCAAGAGATTTGGGGATATTAAACACTCCTCCTCAACTTCAAGATGACAGTTGATAAATGTAACCATAAGATACTGAAAAGAACAAAGGACATGAGGGGAAATGCAAGCCCTTGGGAGATTAATAAATCATAAGGAGAAGGAGTGAGTGTGATCAAGCTATGGAGCCCCAGCAAGGCCCATTACTTGGTCTCTTGCAGAAGTCCAGGAGAGGCAAGCAGGATGCCTGTATTTCTATTAACTGTGATTCCTAGTCCTTAAATGCTCTCAGATGCTTGTAACAGGGTATTTACATTCCCTTAGCAATGAAGCATTATTTGAAAATTGTGAACAGTAGTGGAGTTTGGAAAGATAGTGTAGTGTAATCACTAGCTTTGTCAATGTCCTTTGCACCCACTTCCGAAGGAAGCCTCACTTTCTAGCATGTGCTGTGGTTCTCAGTCTGTGTCACCTTGAGCCCTCATGTTCCACAGAGGTTTTTCTGGGGCAGCCAGCTGGGAGCAGGTAGTCAGGCTTCCAGGCCCCCTCCACCTACTTCTGTGAGAGCAGCTCTACTGTTTCCTGCTGTGTATATTAGAGAACCACAGAAGATTTTGTTTGGGTTCTTCTGCTCCAAAGAAGAAACTTGAAAATCAATGGTGCCAAGGTGTTTACATCCTTTTACAAGTTGCTTCTTCCACTCAGTGCTATGTTTCTGAAATATAACCATGTTAACATATGTAGATGGAGTTCAGTCATTGTAGAATAATCCACAATATGTTCATTCCCCTGCTGATAGAGATTTAGGTGGTTCCCCATTTTTTATCATCTTGAATAATGCTTTAGTGGTGGGCATTTTCAACACAGGCAATGGGCCGTGTACATTAAGCTGGACAAGAAGGGACAGCAGGAGGGGCGGATGACTAGTGAGAATGTTGGGGGAGTGGTAGATTAGATAACTAGGAACTGCATGGATGCAACAGATCCAGGGCCCCTTAAGAATCAGAATGGGTCTGTGAGCTGGAGGATCCAGTGGTAGCACAGAGTAGACGATGATGAGGTCTGGAGTGTGATCTGGGGACTGGGTAGCTGAAAGTAAGGAGGAAAGTGAGTTTGTCAGAAACCTGAGAGGCCAAGGTGTTAGCTGGATTGTTTGCTGGACATCTCCATGTGGTCCTTTAGCTACACTCTACATCCTTCTCAGCCCTGCTCTGTGCCCCAAAGGCTGACCTTTAATTACCGTCTCAGTGCCCCTTCCCTCAAACTGAGAGGCACACAGCCTGGACTGGGGAAGACACAGAGACAGAGCATCCATTCCCCCAGCCCCTCCGTCTTAAGGTTCCTGCAGGTAGGCTGCTTCTCTACTGAAAACCACTACTCATTTTCCTACAATTCTTCTTTCTAGTAATAGCAAGTGTCCCCTCCCTTGCTCCAGCAGTCCAGGATAGTACGACATCTTGACTTGGGGCCCAGCATGCTCATCCTGGGTTTCCTCTATGCCAAGAATCATTTTATTGACCTCTTTTCACTCTATTAACCTGTTTAAATGTACCGTCTCTTTCCTGCCTGATTGAGTACAGGCCAATCTCATGGATACTGAAATCTTGGGAAATGATGACAAGCATAAGAGTAGACAGGAAGTTATTTAGCTGGTTGCAAAAACCTAGTGAGGGGTGATGTCTGTGAATCTGCATAAAATGAAACTAGCCTACAGTTTTGTAGTTTGCTTGTGAGCTCTTTTAAAACTAAAATTCCTGTCTAATTTTTAGAGGGAATTCCTAGTGTTAGCATAATATCTGGCATGTAGAAAGCATTTAAAAATGAAAATAAGTTGAATTGAATAGGACTGAATTAAATCAAATGGAATTAAATGGAATTTTACTGAATAAATGAGATGCTAATTTTGCACATTTTAGACATCATGGGTGTCCCCCCCTCAAACACCCTTTCCTCTAGCGTATGGTTTTTAAAAGCTTTATGAACAGCAAATAAATTACATCAGGGATTGAGTTTCTGAAGTGAATAATAATAAATGTTTGCTTATGTTAGCATCTCATGTAGAAAAATGTTGAAGTCATGAAAATTTTGTGATAAATTCAGATCCCTTTAAGTTTTCAGGACCCACTTTCTTTTTTCATTTTTTTGAGACAGAGTCTTGCTTTGTCACCCAAGCTGGGGTGCAGTGCACAATCACTGCTCACTGCAGTCTTGATCTCCCAGGATCAAGCCATCTTCCCACTTCAGCATCCTGAGTAGCTGGGACTACAGGCATGTACCACCACACCTGGCTAATTTTTTTTTATTTTTTAGTAGAGATGGGTTCTCACTGTGTTGCCCAGTCTAGTCTCAAACACCTGAACTCAAGTGATCCTCCTGCCTCAGCCTCCCAAGGTGCTGAGATTATAGGCATGAGCCACTGCACCCGGCCTGACTCACTTTCTTGATATTATATGCATTTTGCTCTTGGAAAACTTTGATTTCTCTCTCCATGGCAAAAAAAAACAACTTACAGTGCTTTCAGAACATATAATTACTCATTTGAATATAATTTTGTTAGACATATCTAGTAACATTTTCTTGAATTTATAATACTGAGTAGGAAGAAACAAAATATAAAATCTTTCTTGAATTTTTGTTTTAATCAATCTAAAATATTGTATGTCTTTGCATATGAGTTAAAGCTTCTCTGGCATTACACAGTGATTGTTCTCTTCAAATAACAGATCGTAGAGTTGGTAGGGGAAAAACACAAAGTAAACATAGCTGAATTTGCATTTGGCATTTTTTTGGCATGGGGGGCCGGCATTTCCTCTCTTTCTTCCTTTCTCCAAACAGTGCACAAGTAATAATTTAACTCTATATCTGTGGCTTCTATTGTCTATACATACATGGGGTTTCACCATGTTGGTCGCACTGGTCTCAAACTCCTGACCTCAAGTAATCCATCTGCCTTGGCCTCACAGAGTATTGGGATCATAGGCGTGAGCTGCCATGCCTGGCCAAAAACATTTTATTGGACTTTATTTTCAAGGAACTGAGCTGCTTTGTGTGCTTGGGCAGCTCCCCTGAGCCAGTTTGCAAAGGGTGCAGGCAAATGGGCTTGGTGGCTCAGGTACAAAGAAGGGTCTATATTTCTGTGGGGAGGTTGCTGACACCCATGGGTAGGTCCCACTTTTGGGGTTGACCACTAGCCAGGGCACTGGGCTTGCCCCCTTTCTCTACACAGCATTGACATCTTCTATCCATCTCTTTACTTCTTGTAACTCCCCTTTCCTCTTTGCTGACACTGGACTCAAAGAGTCATAGACATTTAATGATTTGCTTAGTGCCAGGCCCTGACCATAGCTTTGAGCCATCTGGATTCATGGTCCAGTGTTCCCTCCACTACTCAGTGCTTTTAAAATCCAGCTCTCCTGTGAGTTGATTGCACTTTCACATAAATTATTTCTTCTAGCTTGCTGGAAAGTTCCTTGGCTTTCTGCTTATCTCTGTAAGGACAGTTAGTTTCCTGTTGCTGCTGCCAAGCATGTAAACAACATGTTTCTTCTTTCTGTGGTGACAGGCACATCTCATCATCCTGAGTAGAAGCCCCTCTCAAGAGGAGGCAGCAGACTCCGCACACGTCGTCGCCCACGCTGCTGTCGCTTCAGGGAGACCCGAGCACCACGGTGAGAAGAATCCTTTTCTCTTCCTGTCTCACAGGCACCTGAGTCTGTAAACAAGCTGCCTTCTAGATGGGTTAACAGGTGGACAGAGCTGTGCCATAGGCCTGCCACAGAGCCTTCCTTGCTTTATCTGATCATCTGCAGCTATGCTACTCTGCTGCTTTCCTCAGAGTCCTTTGGTTTCTCTCCCCTTCTAGCATTCTTTTAATCTTTTATTCTTAAATACAGCTAATCTCTATCCAAATGTAGCTGTTAAGAGCCCCGGAGAATCTGTACTGGGCTTACAGGGAAATCTGCTCTGCCTTCAAAGGTGATCTATTTTTAAAGATTGTTGTGGCAACAGCTCTGGCCTCTGGGCCAGCCACCCTCCAGACACTGTCAGGGCTGAACTTTCAATCAGGATGAACTGACACAACTTCAGGACTCCAAAAGGAAGTTGCCATTTATGGCTTATGTGATTTTCTTATCACTACATAATCGGTAGTGCATCAAACTTCATGAATTGTTTAATCCACCATCCTGGGCTTGGAGCATACAGATTATACAGTGTGCTTCCATTGGCAGAAAACACATAGTACTAATGTTTTTTTTTTTTTTTTTTTTTTTTTGGTCACAATATTCAGAAATGGAGTTCACTTCATAAAGAAGACCCAGGGGTGTATTCCAAGATATCAGATAAAAATAATTACATACTGAATAAATAAGGTCCAGTGTGCTCAAAAGCATAAAATCAACATCTGGAAGGCATGGGGTTGATTGAGGAAGCAGAAGTCAGGCTAAGATGAGGACAGCACATAGGAGAAGGTGAAGGGAGAGGTTCAGTGAACAGCCTGGCCCGGAAAGATCCGCAGGCCAGTCAGGGAGCTCCAGTCTATGGAGGAACTGATGAAGCAGGCATCGGCATTCATCCGTCTGTCCATCCCACCTTGCGGATCTCCAAGAGCTTGAAGCACCTTTTCAGATCTGGAGGAGCCTGTCTAGGGATGGAGAGAGGAGAAAGGTGACCTTTCTTGTCCCCACTCCCTACAACATTCCACACTAACCATCAGGTTTGCTTGTTGGTGCCTAAAATTCATGCAAGAGGAGGAAAGTACTTTCTATTCCATACCTATTAATAAAACACTTAAAATACATGTTTGATGGAAACTCCTAGAATAGTAAGTCAAAAATCTAAATGTCTACAGAAACCAAGCAAGCAATGTGAGGGAAGCAGGTGGTTATCAGAAACCAGCAGCAGCAGCAAGCATAGTTATAAATGGCAGCTAACTGTTGGCTATAGTATGAGAGAGATGAAACCATGGTGAGGACTGTGGCAAACTAAAACCCATACCTGCCACTTAGCTCCAGCCCATGGCAGCCATGTGGAAGGGAGGCTCATATTGGCGAGCTCCTTTTTAAGAGTAGGTAGAAATTTGGAGTTTTATTGGAGAATCTTCAATTTTTTTTAATTATTTTTATTTTTTTAGAAACAGGGTCTCATTTTGTCACCCAGGCTAGAGTGCAGTGGCACAGTTATAGCCCACTGCAGCCTCAAACTCCTGGGCTTAAGTGGTCTTCCTGCCTCAGCCTCCGAGGTTGGTGGGACTACAGGCACACACTGCTTACACTCAGCTAGTTTTTAAAAATTTTTTGTAGAGACAGAGTCTTGCCCAAGATGGTGTCAAACTCCTGGCCCTAGGCTACCCTCCCATCTTGGCCTCCCAAAACTCTGGGATAACAGGCATGAGTCACCACACACCCAGCCCAATTTTTAACTGATGGTAACTAACTGAAATATGTTTAAGGCTCTGAGTGAGTCAAACCAAGTGTGAAGGCTGGATCCCTGACTTTTGACCTGGAAAGCAAGAGTGTGAATAAGTTGCTGTCAGATCTTTCCTGTTTTCCTTGGGGGTGTAAATTGGCAGAGTATAGGGGAGGTGGGTCCATTCCTGAATGAATACCAAACAGAGAGAGGGCTAAGGCCAAAAGACCATCTTTTTGCCTAGAGGGATTCCAGCTTCCAGCACTTGAACCAGTGCTCAGTATACTCACTTGCAGGTATGAATTGAGTGGAACCTAGAGATTCTGTGTCCTAGAATGCCATTGTCCCATAGCTGCAAAGTTAGGCCACTCTGCTTTGCATGACATGGAATCAGAGACAATTCAATTTTGGTTATATATTTTTTTAAAATTTTCCAGTCTAAATATAGCACTGTATTGTCTTCTCTTAAACTGAAAATGATAATAATGCCTACTTGATACAGATAATAAATATGTGATAACAGTTATTATATTAATAGCTACTACTTATATATGGCATACCAACAATGGTTCTGACCGCACTATATTTATTAATTCCCAAATCCTTGCAACTCTGTGAGATAGGTACAATTATCCCCATTTTTAGATGGAGAAACTGAGGCACCCAGAGATTAGGTAATTTTCCCAAGGGCCCATAACCAGTGAGTGGTAAAGATATGAACCCAGGTAGCAACCACCCCAGAGGCTCTTTATGCCATGTCGCATTATGGGGTCTGGCACTGCACGTGTCTCCTCCCACCTTAGGCCCACCAAAGAGTCTGTGGAGTGTGGGACAGACAAGGGACACAGGAAGAATGAAGGCAGCCCAGAGAGAAGGGTTTGGAGTGCCAGTGAGAAGGCCTGGGGTCCAGGAGCATGTGGAGAATCTCAGCTCCAACCTTCAGCAGCTGAGGGCATTCGGTGACATGTACCCAGAAAGCCCACTTGCCAGTCAGAATTGAAATATGTGAGGAACCACTTTGGGAGGCCAAGATGGGTGGATCACATGAGGGCAGGAGTTGAGACCAACCTGGCCAGCATG